CCTCATAAAAACGGGAATAATCCGAAAAAGTGTCAATTCGAGTTGTTATAAATTACAAAAAGCCGCCCCTGAAGAAGAATAATAAAAGTGAAATAAGTCTGAGAACGAAAAGCCCATAATGATTTTAGAAAAAGTTCAAAACGACATATACAATAAACTGAAAATGACTAAAAATTCAGGAAAAATCGCAATTTCACGAAATACTTCAAAAACAAAAAAAAAGCAGAAATAAAACGGCACAAATACAAAAAGTGTCAAAGAAAAGAGATAAGACAAAGTTGAATTGGATAAAATGAGTTTGAAAGAAAAATAGATTTTGATGAATTGTTCGGAACGGTGAAAGGAGATCAATATAAAGAAACTCAGAAATTATTGTCACAACACGATGGGGAATCTCCTCGCAGTGCAAACACAGTATAACACAATGGAAGAACTGAAAACAGCAACGGGTCTGTCAGATCCTTTTGTCCTCTTTGATAGCGAAGTCAGCGATTTGTCAGAACGCGAAATTGATGCGAAGATAAAAGGGAGGAATCGGGTGATGGTAGTTCTTGCCGCAGAGAACCACTTTTTCGGTCTTTACACGTCGAAACAAATGGACGTCAAAAACATGAAATTCCTCTGGACACTTTCGAACGACAAAGCGTCGTTCTTCTTCCACGTTTTGCCAAACGGTAAACTTATTTCGAAAAACAAAGACTTCGATTTAAATATCAACCCCATCCAAAATCGCCTTTCGTTTGGCTTTGGGTCGTCGACTTTCGAGTTGAAGATGGACGGGGAAGGCAATATAGGCCCCGAGATTGGGTATATGTCATCAGAGTATCAGATCACTAGTACCATTGGAAGGCTCATCTTCTTGCAGTGGAGATGAGACCGCCTATACACTTGTATATTATAATTCAACATTTTTTACCCCATTTTGTCGTATTCAACTTTACTTACAAAAATCACTTATCGGAACGTCTCACCTCAGAATTATTATCACAACTAAAACAACTACGAGAACGCCTATCTCTAAACAATAGACGATGCGGTACAACACTTTCTTCAAACACCGCGCTACTACAGAATTGGTGATGTGTTTCCGACAAAACGACTTGAACTTGTCTCTCTTCCGAAGAATCTTCGGTTCGGCAGCAATATGCCGAGGAATGGATATATCGATCTTTTGGTGCGTGTTGGCTTCTTGCAGAAACCTCTTGTTCTTTGCAAACTCAAATTGGACAATGTGGATTGTCTCACGCTCAAGAGACAACCACCTTGGGCTCGTTTCTGAGTCGCAAAGACCAAGCTCCTTGAGTACACTTCTTTCCTCAATGTCCATTCACTTTTCCATACCATTTCACTTCATTTTTTCAGCTCTTAAGTCTTTTAGTTCCTCCATTTCAATCTTCTTCTTTCATTCAATTTATCTTATGTATATCGGTATGTTTTTTTTTGCTTATCTTATACTTTAAATGTATTTTATTTTAATATCATTCCGATATAATTAATGTGTATTTCCACAATTTAAAAAAAAGTCCACAACATTGTCTAATTGTTAATAATAATAATAATTTATTAAAAAACTTAATAATAGTTATAAAACAATTATATCGTTATTATAAGTAATAAGTTATTATATTATATAGTAAAGTTCTGTTTAACAACAACATAAACTCAAGTCAAATAAATAACACAATAAAACGAACGGCGCAATCTCACAACTCATCAGGCGTCTTTTCAACGAAGTGAGTAAATTCCCTTGGCGAACAATTCATAGATCCTCGAGCCGGTGATGTGAGATCCACGAAATCCAACGCGTTGGTGGACGTAAGTGTTCTGTTAATAGGGACGTTACTAGACAAGTGAAAGGCATCCAATGTCTCGGAATCCTCCGATAGGTCCAAACTCCCACAAGGTGATATGGGTCGTAAGCAAATTGGTCTTGACAAATACACTCGCTTGGACATGATTGCTTTGTGAGTTCTGCACAACAGACTTTTATATAGCAACCCCCTCTTTCATTCGTGAAACAACCGAGAAAAAGCTACAACGCCTTTGTGGCTATGTGATCTATTTATTATGGTTATTAAACTATATATTATTAATATGGATATTATATTGAAATTTCCAGAGTTGAATTGGATTTTGCACAACTAAAACATCAGAGGTACGAAGTTTTGCTCTGTAATAGTAAAATTACTAATATTTATAGGTTTATATTGTTTTTTGTATTATATTTTCAAACATTATTTGGTTCACTTTTTCTAATTTAAAATAATTTTTGAATAATTCTATTAATTTTTATAAATTTTATTATAGTTTTGAAATGGAAATGATAATCTGAATTTAGCCTTTTTGTTTTTTTTAAATTTGTTTTTTTGTGAAGATCTTTATTTTTGTTTTTACTAAATTGGTTTTTATCGTTTTACTATTATTATTATATTATTAGCAAGTGTAATTATTTTTTTAATAAATCATTAGGTAGTTAAACTCGATAGTTGTCAATAATTTTTTATAAATCAAAAACGATATTGTTTTTATATTTCTATATTTAATAATAATGTTGTAATTCTATTTAATAATCATAAATTAAAATAATATATCAAATAATAATTGTTTTTATCAATTAATTATATTAATTATTTTAGTATCAATTAATTTTAAATATAAAC